AGTATGGACATTTTAATGATATTAATTCTTCCAATCCACGAGCATGGTATATTCTTCCACTTGTTTAAATCTTCCTCTATTTCTTTTTTCAGTGTCACGTAGTTTTCCGAGTACAGGTCTTTTACATCCTTGGTTAAGTTTATTCCTAGGTATCTTATTTTTTTAGTTGCAATGGTAAATGGTATTGCTTTTTTAGTTTCTCTCTCTGAAAGTTCATTGTTGGTGTATAAGAATGCCATTGATTTCCGGATGTTGATTTTGTATCCAGCTACCTTGCCAAATTCGTTTATCAAATCTCGTAGTACTTTGATGGAGTCTTTAGGGTTTTCTATGTACAATATCATGTCATCTGCAAATAATGACAGTTTTACTTCCTCCTTTCCAATTTGGATACCTTTTNCTATGTACAATATCATATCATCTGCAAATAATGACAGTTTTACTTCCTCCTTTCCAGTTTGGATACCTTTGATGTTTTCTTCCTGTCTGATGGCTATGGTGAGGACTTCCAGTACTATATTGAATAAGAGTGGTGAAAGTGGACATCCCTGTCTTGTTCCTGTTTTTAATGGAAATGGTTTTAGTTTTTGACCACTGAGTATGATGATTTTAATTTTTTAATTAATTATTGTTTTAAAATGTGTTTTTATTAATTTTAGAGAGAGAGGAAGGGAGAAGGAGAGAGAGGAGAAACTTTGATGTGAGAAAGAAACAGAGATTGGCTGCCTCATGTACGCACCCATCCAGGTACCGAACATGCAACCTGGGTATGTGCCCTGCCCAGGAATCGAACCGGCGACCAACTAACCCACATTGGCCAGGCTGGTTTTCAATAATGGCAGTGTTTAACAACTAGCTCGCAATGTTTCTGAAACCCACATGGCTTACAGGCTGCTATGAGCTGGCTCCAGCACAGACTACTTCCACATTTGTCTTCACATGTGACCTCTTCTTCCCTAGGCTCCCCACTCTTTCTCTAGCTGCCTGTTCAACATCTCCACTTGAATGTCCAATTGACATCTCAATAAAACTACATCTAAAACAACGTCTACTATAATGTCTCAATCTTTTCTCCTCTACCCTTCTCTCTTCCCACTTCTGGAAACATTACCTCCAGGCGCCCATTTGCTCAGGCCCCCAAGTGAGGCTTCATCTGTGACCCTTCTTTCCTCACGTGCCACATGCAGCAGATCAGCACATCCTCTCAGCTCCATCTTTAAAATACATCAGGTGTCCGAGCACGTCACACTGCCTTCTCTAGCTCCATAGCCCTGGATCAAACCTCATCACTCTCACCATGATTCTGCAGTAGCCTGCACAGGGTTCCTGCTTCTGTCCTTGCCCCTTTGTCATCTCTTATCACCACAGCAACAACAGTGATCCTGTTAAAATGTCAGTCACATCGAGTCTCTCCTCTGCTCACAACTCTCCATGGCTCCCATCGCAAAGAAAAAACTCCCATCCTTACTATAGCTGCTGAGATCTGACCTCCCCTTGTCACTTACTCTTCTCCTTGCCACTGACTCTTGCTTTTCTTCCAACCCCCCTGCCATGTTCCTGCCTGAGGACTTTTGCACCTGCCATTCTACAAAGCACTTCCTCCAATCCGGACTCACGGCCATACTTCCTTCTGTTCCCACTATGTCTCCTCAGGGAGGCCTTCCCTAACATCCTCTACCCCTTCTTGTCTCTTATTTTTCCTCATAGCTTTTAGCATTCACTTCCTACCATCATATTATGTACTTATTTGTTGTGGTCTGCCCCTCCCCGGTACTTACCACTTCAAGCCCTGGAACAGTGCCTGGGTCCCAGTAAGTCCTAAATCAAATTTGTTTTGTGAATGAATTTATGAATGAGTGAATGGCAGCTAGGAAAAAACCCAAACTCTTCTCATTGGCTCCCAGCTCCGCCAGGATCAGGGCATGCTCCTTGGCAAGGCTGACAAGGCACTGGAGAACGTGGTCCCCTTGGCCCCTGTGGCTCCACCTTGATGGCCCCTTACCCCCATCACTTCTTCCAGCTACACTGAACTTGTGGGTCCCTCAAATGGACCACTCTCTCTCACCTCAGGCCTTCCTTTATCTTCCTGGGGCTGAAATCCTTTCTCCCTTTCACCTGGCTTGTTTTTCAAGCATCCTTCAGGTCTCAGTTTGGCTACTACCAGTTCTGGGAGGGCTTCCCTGATCTCCTCAGCTCCAACTGACCAAGGCTCCCCCGCCCCACTGCCTCCCTAACCAGACTGTGAGCTGCCTGACAGCAAGGCCTGTGACTTACTAATCTCAGAACCCTGGGGCCTAACACTGACTAAGTGTTCAATAAATACAAGTTGAATGAAAGAATGAATGAACAAAAGAAATATTAAAAACCAAACCTGCTGAGTGATAGTATGGGGGACCTAGGGCTACCATCCCACTCCCCATTCCTGTCATCCTCCCACACAGAGGGCCTGTTTCAGCTCAGTCCTGGAGCAGGGAACCAACAATCAGCCAGAGCCTAGGAGGTGTCAGCAAGTCATAGCTCTCAGCGAGTCCTTGCCATGAGGCCAAGAGCCCTATGGCCCCACAACATGAGAGGGGTGGGAGAAGAGGAAAGCAGCCTGAAGGCCCTCGTTGGAAGAAATCACATTAACCCAAGTACTAGTGGCTATGACTCTCCCATTACCATTTCCTTTCTAACTTCAAACCCAGGTCACATTCCTTGGCCACAGCTTCCAGTATGGCACTCAAGGGGAGGCAAAGAAGGGTTCCTTCTAGACCTGCATACAGCAATCAATGATGAACCAGTGGCACCAGAACCCACACCCAAGGAGCCTGAGCCCAAGCCCTGGGTCACACTGCTACCTGTCTCCCAGGTGGGTCTGCTTACATGGCCCAGGACCAGGCAGGCAGAGGCCCAGCACAAACCGGATGATGAGAACATCTGGCAGATCAAACTTCACCATCCCTGACGCCTTGTCTGTATGTAAAGTGAGGAGGAGGGTAGCAGCAGTCCCACTGCCCAGCCTATTGGCTCAGCAGCCCGGCACTGATCTGGCTTCCCTCACCACAGACCCCAGATGCTCTTTCCTCATCCCCAGGGACCACCCCCCACCTAAGAGCTCTTGGCCCAAAGTTCCCTTTCTATACCATCCCAGAGGGTAGAAGAGGTCCTAAGTTAGGCCTCTACTAGTGTAACTCCTTCCAAAGGGACCCCTTCCCATATCCTGGATCAGACCCTGGTAGTTACAGAGGCCTCAAGGGCTAGGGATCCCCAACCCCAGCCTGATAGTACCCCAGGATCTCACAGGTCTCCTTCCATAGCTGCCCACATTCCTGCCAGCAGTTGCTCCTGTGGCCTCCATGCTCACCTCTGCCAGGATGAGGCTCAGACCAGAATTGGTCTCAAACCCAAGCTCCCCCATCTCCCCATGTCTCTCCCTCCTCCTTTCTCAAATCCACCTGCAGTCTGCTGATCCCATCTTTAAAGTAACTCTTGACTTTGGCCTTAGCCAGGCCCCAGCACCTCCTTTCTGAAGCCTGCCCTGCTCTGCCACAGAACAGCTGCTCTACCACTTCTCCTGGCCCTCCCATTACTGCCTGTCAAATTAAACACTACTGCCTTCTGAGCTGTACATTCAAGCCTTCCACAGCATGATCAGCCTGGCAAATCCCAGCTCTGCCACTCACAAGCTGTGTAACCTTAGGCAGATCATTTAGCCTCTCTGAGCCATGATTTTCTCATCTATAAAATGTACTTTGAAAGCTATTGAGAGATTCTAAAGGCAGTGAGGTAGTATCCAACACTTGAGAGACTTGGGTCTGATCCTCACTCTGCCAAAACCCCGAGGCTTCCTACGCTGGTGAAATAGGCTCCTGCTTCCTCCTGCCCACCTAGGAGGGCTCTGTGCAGGCAACAGCTCTCTTCCAAGCTCCTGTGTGCTGTGGCATGTGGTGAGCAGGAGAGGGTCTGAGGCTAAGCAAAGGGACTGCAGGGAAGTAAGCCACTCAGTTTCCTCTCAGCATAGTGAAGTTGAGATTTCTATATGCAAGGCCAGGATGAGATTTCTACATGTAGCTCAGGAGGGGCTGCCTGAGCAGCAGGAGTGAACCTCTGGTGCATTGGGAAAGGCTGATAAACAAACTCACCAGAATCCAAATCAGGAAGGCCCAGAGCAGGGGTTGCCATGGCAACCTGCAGCAGGCTCCCTCCCAGCTTCTCTGGGGTGGGTGCCGGGACTTGTCAGACTTGGCTACATCTGCCTCCAAGGCCTCCTCCTTGGGCTCTGCCGAGCTCAGCATGGACACAGGAGAGGGGCAAGGGCACAGAGAGTTAAGCCTGGGCTCCCACTACCAGCTTTAGTGAGATCACTCCTCCTCCAGGGTGAGGCCTATACCCAAGGGCCTCCAGAGTGCAGCAAGCCACCTACAGCATCCTTCCACCACCCAGGCCCCAGCACCAAGCACTTCAGCCCAGCCCATCAGCTGCCTGGGTTGACACAGCATCACTGCATGTGGTGATGCTCTCAGGCTTTTGCCAGGGCCAGTGGCCTGGAAGCTATTACTTGGGTACAAGGTAGAGTGGGCAGGGAAATAATTCCCAGACCTCCGCTCATAACTGGGTGGCAGAAGGGACAAGCACAGGTGCCAGGCACTGAGGTAGTACTTTATGCATGTTTTCTCTCATTTAATGGCACAACCCTTTGACAAATGCGGAAACAGGCTCAGGGAAGTTAAGTGGTTTCCCAAGGTCACAGAGCTACTGGGTGGTAAAATCTAGGCCCCAGCCAGGGTTTTCCAACTCCATAACCCAGATCCTTCCCAAAGGGGTCTGTTACTAGATGCCCCGGGCTGATCATGCAGTATGTCACCATACCAGTCTGCACAGACACAGTACACAAAGAGATAATGGCCTTCATGCCTCCATTTAATGGCCAATCCAGCACTGCCCAGATGATGCCCAGACCCCAGCAGGGAGCCTCCATCCTGCCTGCTGGCCCCCAAAGAACCCACCCAAGCTGGTACCTCTTAGCTTTACTAGCAGCATTCCTGTCCAGTCTGTGGTTAGGAGGCAGCCTCATCTCAGCTCCTTTAGCAAGTTGTTGATAGAACCCAGCAGTTCCCAGAAGTATCCCTTATCCTCTCCATCTTGGAGCTCCTGGGCAGCTAGCACCTGGTATTCAGCCTGTAGATTGGCCAGCATCCTGCTGAGTTGGGAGTCCTGGTGGTAGCGGTCCCAGCAGGTGACGAGGAGGGCACCCAGTGTCTGCAGCACCTTTTCACGGGCATCATGTTCAGGCAGTGCCAGCAGATGGGCAGTGATCTCACACCAGCCTTGTTCTCGCAGGCTTGGCAGGAGATGCACCTGGCGATACTGCTGCAGCTTCTCTGGGGACATATCCCGGGTCAGCTCGGCCTCTTCCTCGGCAAACATCTGCCATCCGTGTGGCCAGGTGCCAGGGGTGGGGTGAGGAGGAGAGAACACACAGAGCTCAGTCAGCTCTGCCCTTCAGATGTAAAAGCACATGGCTGACCTGCGAGTTTGAATCCTCTTCCTTCATCCCCTTGGGCCTCAAAGGCCCTTCATGGGAGAAGGTCAGCAGGATTCATGGCTTTACACATGCTCCCCCCTCCACCTATCTGTTCATCCATCCACTAATCCAAACAACTGTGCAATGTGCCAGGGGCTGGAGAAATGAAGATGGAGATATGGTCCCTGCCCTCGAGGAGCTCAGGGTCCAGCAGGAGAATAAAATTTAACTGAGTAATTCCTAAAGAGCATGATAATTTAGTCCAGCAGTATGCTGTGGAGGCAGACTCGATAGTCTGGGTTCAAATTTCTGCTCCACCCACTGCTCACTGAGTGATCTGGGGCTGGCACTTAGCCTCCCTAAGACCTAATGTCATCATCTCTCACATGGAGACGATATAACCCCTCAGGACTGTTGGGAGGATTCAGAGTAATAGGGAACATGCAGCTAGTGGCGAGTACACAGAACACATCCAACCATGCAAGCTTCAATACCAATTATTACTACTCCGTCTACACCTCCAGTGTTAGCTAGATCAGCAACATGGTCATCATTACCCCACTACAGATCCACATCCTCAGAGGAGTTAGGGATGGAATAGAGGAGGATGGCATTTCCCTAAGTCTTGAGGGATGAGTGGGAGTTGTCCGAGTAGACAAGGATGAAGTGGAGGGTCCACACACAGGAGGGCCGTACAATAGGCATGGGCCTACCTCATTTTGAAGAATGGAAGATAATGCTGATCAGTGAGACACAGAACACACAGAGCCCTGGGTGTCCCTCCAAGGAGGGTGGCCTTTATGTTGAGGGTCTAGAGAGTCGAAGAAAGTTTGGGCAGGAATACACATGCTCGGCTTGTGTCTGTAAAGTGCAGAAACCCAGCCCCATCAGCAGAATATGGTGGGAACCAATCCTGCCAGGCTGCAAGAGGTGGCAAAGGAAACACCTGAAACCTGACAAGTTAGCAGCTTATTTCAAGTGTCGGAGGAAGGCTGGGCAGAGGTGGAGGGTCAGGAGGGGTAGAAATGTCCCATTTGGGCTATACTAAATGTACCTGCAAGAAGAAAGGAGGAGTCTCTGCCCTAACTCCAGGGGAGAATGAGGCATGCAGGGGACAGAGAAGGCAAGAGGGAGGGAAGCCCAGGAAAAGATCAGGGGCCACAGTGGACCACTTGATGGCCTTGGGGCCCACTGGAGCTGGTGGAAGGAGCTGGGGAGGGGCAAGGGTCGGCGTCCTGGGACAGGAAAGGCTGAGAGGGATATGGTAGTCCTTTCCTGCCCTAATCCTGCCAGCTCCACCTCCAAAACACATCCCAGCCCTCCCAGCTCTCTGCCTCATGCACCCTGCTCCTCACTGCAATTCTATAGTCCACTGCCTCCCACTCCAACCTGCTTCCTCTGGTCTTCTGATAGCTGACAGTGCTGCCTCACCCCAAACCTTTCACAACATGGCATTTCTGATGATAAAGATGAAATCCCTTCTCTGGGACTTTGAGGCCCTGCAGGATCTGCTCCTGCCTGCACTTGGCCTCATCCCCACAGGTGTCCTCACTCTGGCACCTGTCACACTGCCTCTCCCAGGGCCTTTGCAGGTGCAGCTCCCACTTCGAGGTGCACTCTCACCCCACCAGACTACCCAGTTAACTTGAATCACCCCTCAGATCTCAGCACCTGCCCTGACTCCCCAGAAGTAGTTGGGGCGCCGATCCCAAGTCACCATAGCCTACATGCTCTGGTGATTCTCTGATAAGTGTCTGCCTGAAAGCACCAGGAGGGCAGGGACCACAGACCTGACACAGCATCAGACAGGGCGGACACCCAGGCAACACTTGGGGAAGGAGCCAGCGGGTGGGTCACCCTGTGGACCTTCAGCTCCACGAAGCACGTAGGCTGCCGACCACAGGCAGGCACCCCATTTCTGCAAGAGCAGCAGAGGAGGGTCCATACTTTGCATAGGAATCCTGAAGTTCAGCTGCAACCTCCCTACACCTAACCTGCACCCCCAGTGACAACCTGACACACCTCCACCTTCAGGCGGCTCACAGCTTGCCTTCTCTGTCCCCTGAGTGCCTCATCCTCCCCCTTTGGCTAGTTCTTCACTCCTGAGGAACAGAGAAGCCCTGACTGCCTCCAACACAGAGTATGCTGACATCTGTCCTAAAGCTCTCCAGCTGCTGGAGGATGGCTGTCTGTACTGTTTGCTGAGAGACACCAGTCCCTCCCTGACCTTCACAGCACCCCAAGGACTCAAAGGCAGGCTCCCAGGCCAGCTGACTCAGGGCAGCCTTGGTGAGACTGCCCAGTGGTCACTCTCCAGGGATGAGCCAATGTCAGTGCCTATCACGCCAGAGCTGGAGACAGGGAAGAGACACCCAAGACCACAGAGGAAAGAGATGATTTTCTCCAGCCAATGTACACGTCCTTCTCCAGGCTTACTGGCCCACTACCAGGATGTCAGCTGTGCCTGGGCCTTATTAATTGGATGTGAGCACCACATGGCTGCCTGCTGTTCTGAGAAACTAGGTTTCTGCAGCTTAAAGGAGGCAGGTGGTGATGGAGAGGGAGAAGAAGGAGAAAGAGAGGGAGAGGGAGAGGGAGAAGGAGAGAGAGAGGGGGAAGGAGAGAGAGGGGGAAGGAGAGAGAGGGGGAAGGAGAGAGAGGGGGAAGGAGAGAGAGGGGGAAGGAGAGAGAGGGGGAAGGAGAGAGAGGGGGAAGGAGAGAGAGGGGGAAGGAGAGAGAGGGGGAAGGAGAGAGAGGGGGAAGGAGAGAGAGGGGGAAGGAGAGAGAGGGGGAAGGAGAGAGAGGGGGAAGGAGAGAGAGGGGGAAGGAGAGAGAGGGGGAAGGAGAGAGAGGGGGAAGGAGAGAGAGGGGGAAGGAGAGAGAGGGGGAAGGAGAGAGAGGGGGAAGGAGAGAGAGGGGGAAGGAGAGAGAGGGGGAAGGAGAGAGAGGGGGAAGGAGAGAGAGGGGGAAGGAGAGAGAGGGGGAAGGAGAGAGAGGGGGAAGGAGAGAGAGGGGGAAGGAGAGAGAGGGGGAAGGAGAGAGAGGGGGAAGGAGAGAGAGGGGGAAGGAGAGAGAGGGGGAAGGAGAGAGAGGGGGAAGGAGAGAGAGGGGGAAGGAGAGAGAGGGGGAAGGAGAGAGAGGGGGAAGGAGAGAGAGGGGGAAGGAGAGAGAGGGGGAAGGAGAGAGAGGGGGAAGGAGAGAGAGGGGGAAGGAGAGAGAGGGGGAAGGAGAGAGAGGGGGAAGGAGAGAGAGGGGGAAGGAGAGAGAGGGGGAAGGAGAGAGAGGGGGAAGGAGAGAGAGGGGGAAGGAGAGAGAGGGGGAAGGAGAGAGAGGGGGAAGGAGAGAGAGGGGGAAGGAGAGAGAGGGGGAAGGAGAGAGAGGGGGAAGGAGAGAGAGGGGGAAGGAGAGAGAGGGGGAAGGAGAGAGAGGGGGAAGGAGAGAGAGGGGGAAGGAGAGAGAGGGGGAAGGAGAGAGAGGGGGAAGAGGGAGGGGGGAGAGTAAATCAGGTTGAGAGAGAGAGGCAGAGAGAGTAAGAGAGGGGAAGCACACCCAAAAGCAATAGCTGACAAGAAGCAGTGATGGACAACCCTGACCCTCAGCACAACACAGGGAGGGGCCAGGGAGGAGGGCTGGGCCCCAGAGCCCCCAACACTCAGCAGAGGTTACAGCAGCTGCCCAGCCCTGCTCCACCAATCCACAGGCTGGCTGTTCTAGCTATTGTAACCCACAGCTGAAAAAGCCCTGCCAGTGCTCTCTGCAGCAGCTGAACTAAGAATCCAGGTCTGGCTGGTTTTACTCGATCCTTAATTAAGACACTTTTTAGTCTCATAAAGACGGAAGTGGGCAGGGCACCAAGTCTCCTCCAAATGGCAAGCACCTGGGGTCCCTAGAGTCTTCCAGGGCAGTCATTCTGAGCCCCTGTCCAGAGCCAAAGCTCTCAGAGTAGGCAACTCCAGGTTTCTAAAATCTTAAGATTCAGCATCATTCCAGCCCTTGGCTCCTTGGTCTCCTGGCTGCTGTGATGGCTCCTAGACACAGCTGTTCCATCCCACCTGCCCCTCATCATCCCACCCTATGCTTCGGCCAAATAACCTCTCATTACATGAAGGGCTCATCCAGGTTATTTCTGGCCTTCAATCACACTGATCCCTGGGCTTGCACACTTCACTCTGACCACTGCCAGCACTCCTTCCTCCCCCCTCCTCACCAACCCTCGGGTTTCAGCTCAGTGGCCATTTCCCCCCTGATGTCTCAGAAATCCTGGGTTTGGAGCCCTGAAGTGGGGTCCCCACAGCATCCCTGTCTGCCCAGCTCAGAGCTGGCACGTTTGCTCCAGAGCACTTACTGACGAGGATGAAGGGGTGGGTGGGAGAGACATGGGAGGGGGCCAGGATCAAATGGTCAGAAGCAACCACAAAGCAAAGTGAGAGGGATTCAGGGCAGGCTGGGCACTCACCTTCTCAGTGACCAGATCGTAGAGCAGGGTGACCACACGCACGGCCAGCACCTCTGTGCCCTTCTCCTGTACCAAGCTCCTCAGGACCTGCAAGCCCCCCAGCTTCAGGAACTGTTTCTGGGCATAGGGGAAGTGTCGCAGTAGGGAGCACAGTGCGAATAGGACCTGGGGAGACACAGGTCCATATGGGTGAGGGGCTATACAGATCTGGCCTTGCCCCAGGGCCTAGAAAAGGCAGCTGGAAGTGTGTCAACTGCCCCAGTCCAGCTCCCACTCTTCCTGGCTCTACCCACTGTCCTCAGGTACAGCTACACCCCAGAGCCCAGGTCTGGAAGAGCCAGACACGTTCAACATCACCCAGTGGACAAATGGAGGCCCAGTACAGGCAGCCAGGGTGTGGGACCCACAACCACACCATGGGAGGTACCCCCAGGCCTTCAGATGCCTCAGCATGCTGCTGTGCTGCTTTGGGTGAGTGGGACCTCTCCCCCTATGCCAGCCAGTGGATAGCCACTCAGGCCCCCAAAAGGAACATGCACAGTTTGGAAAGGGACCCATGCCTTTGAGGCTCCACAGATGTGCTGGGGGCTGGGCAGGAGGAAGGGAGCAGAAACCCACCTTCTTCTTCGCAGTGAGAGGCTGCTCTGTAGCCAGGATGACTAGCAGCTTCTGCAAGGCTCCCCCCTCGATGGCCTCCACCTGGACCTTTGGGTTGCTGTTGGGGAGGAAGCACAGAAACGCATGTCTTTGCACCTGTTCACCAACTTGGGGCAACACCACTGTGCCCAACCCAGGGATCTGGGTGATTAGGGAGTTGATACCACACCAGCCACCCCTGGAGAGAAACAAGGTGCACAAGGTGAGGAGAGGTTCCCCACTCTGGACTAGCTAGAACTTAGACGGGGAAATGGAGACTAATTAGTGTGGATCCACCTGGGTAGAATGACCTATGGCACAGACAACAGGGCCAAGTGCCCCCATGCCATCCTCCCACTCCCCAGCAGCCAGTGGGCTGGGGTGATCTGAGGAGGGAAATCACACCTACCACTTTAAGGTCCTTCTGATGCTAACAGTGCTACTTCAGTGTCCCTCCTATGGAAAGCCTTCCTCCACGTTCCCCAAGCCAGTGTTGGCTTCTCCTCCTTCCAGCATCCCAGGCACATCACACATTGGGGGGCAATTACTAATGGGTCCTAGGGACAGGTACCCATTCTTTTGCTCTCCTCTCCCGGGTAGAACACACACACAGCACATAATAAATGCTTGTGGGAGGAAGGCAGAAAGAAAGCACAAAATCCAGGGAGCCTCTGAATCCCTACACAGATCCTAAAACAGGACCAACCTAGTGCCTCACCAGCAGACCCTCTGCTCTCTGAGGAGATACTACGATTTTCTCTATCCTTGCATTCTTAGCATTTAGGGCAGAGCCTACCATGTCATAGGCCCTTGAACAAAGGAATGAATGAATGAATGAATGAATGAAAAAACACATGTACACAACCATAATTGTGCCGACCAACGAACAGGCACTGCTGAAACCCTCAAAACCCAGAGCTGCCTCTGGAACTCCTCTCCCCATTCTAGGGCTGGAGAAAAGTAATGAGATTCAAACAAAATTTCAGGTACAGCCCTCCTGGATGAAAGGAGGCTGGGACTGGAAGGGTGCCAGGCAGGGGACATGGCTGGGTACCCCAGCAGGAGACCTTTTGCAGGACCCTTGCTTTCTCAGATAAAATCAGTGATCAATTGAAGAGCAAGTACCAAACACAGAGACCTATGTTGTTAGGTCCTTGAGGGAGGTCAAAGTGACCTCCCTGGCCACTTCTGAGGCTTCAGAGAAAAAAAGGCAGCAAGTACATAAGAAACCTGAGGCCAGCAACAAGGGGGTGGGAAAAGCCAGAGATCAAACAGCCCACAAAGGGTACCAAGTCTCCACCACGCTCTGGTTGCCTTACCTTAGCATGGTTATCAGCTCCCTGGAAACCCCAAAAGCACCTGTTCCTCCTAACCCCCAACCTTGGCAGGGGGTCCTTATGGCATATTGGAGAATGAGGCAGTATACAGACAAATCAGAGGGAGTCTGCTCCTGGTCCAAACACCAGAGGAATATGGAGGCAGGTAATGAGTGTGTGTACACTGCTGCTTACAAGAGAGGCCCTGGCACACAGCAGGCACTCCATAAATGCTGGCCGAATGGCATGGTGATGGGGCCCAAGTGAGTCCCAGATGGCTTACCCCTCTATTCCGAATAGGCACCGGCTTCAAGGTTCAAAGCAGACTTAGTAACACAGAGCCACTTTTCCTGCTGTAAAATGGGAGGTGCCGCTCGACCAGCATGGCTCAGTGGTTGACCTCCGAACCAGGTGGTCACTGTTTGATTCCAGGTCAGGGCACATGCCTGGGTTGCAGGCTTGATCTCCAGTAGAGGGAGTTGCAGGAGGCAGCCGATCAATGACTTTCTCTCATCATTGATGTTTCTACATCTCTCTCCCTTTCTCTCTCTGAAATCAATAAAACAAACAAACAAAAACCCAGATTTAAATAAATAAATAAATAAATAAATAAATAAATAAATAAATAAAATGGGAGGTGCCTTCATCCCTCTGTATCCCTCTCAGCCAGAAAGGACAAGCAGGGTGGGTGCCAGCCTGTCCCACTGTAACTCCACTCATGTTTAAGGAGCAGCCTGGAGATGGGGTGGGGTCTCTGGGGAAAGAAGGCTGACAGCTCCTCTCCAGTCAGGCAAGTGGGCACTGATGCATGGGGGACTGCAAGCTGAGCCTCTCTCCTGCCCCTGCTCCCCTAACTTGAGAAAGGCAGCTGCTTCATCAAAGCGTGAGTTAATTAGGGCTGTCTCTGCCATCAATAGCCTGAAGAATGCTCGCCGAAACTGGCAGGGTCTAGGAAAAGACAGATGACCACACAAATGTCAAATCCTGCCTCCCAAGGAAGGGGGTTCTGCAGGGCCCGACACTGCATCAGTTTCAGACAGCGCCACTGATGAGCCTCATCCTCATGGGATCAGAGTGGCAGAGACAAGGCCCTCCAAAGACAGCATGAAGCTTCGTCCTTGTCTACAGATCTACTGAGAACAAGACCCAGAGACGAGACAATCATCCAGCCAACCAGAGAAGAGCACAGCTCAGGAACACAGTGGGCATCCAAGGAGACCTAGCCTAAGCACACTGGGATCAGCCTGGGCACCTCCCAGAGCAGCAGCCCTATCACCAACAAAAGGCAGTGAATGTTGGGAGAGAGGACAGAAAACATGCAGAAGACTTGGATTCTGCCTGCCCAGATCTCCCCTAGAGGGAACCAAAGCACAAACAGAAACCAACTATCAGGGGCAAAGGTGGGGAGGAAAGGTGTACTGTGTAGACAAATCCTTGGGATCCTCCAGAGAAAGAATAAGCTGACTGGGAGTGAAGAAAAGATGCCAACAGCCAATAAGAGATGGCTTTCCTGGTATTTCCATGGGAGCCTCAGTGTAGGGTAGAGAGGGTCTGACTCTGAGAAGCCCCCATGCAGGACACATCCTTGGGGAAGCTCAGCTTGCTCTCTGCCACTCAATACAGCACACCAGGGTTCACACACAGGGGAGGCCCCAGCACCAGACGCTACTTACAGGTTTCAGAGAGAATGAATAAATGAATGGCTATGTAACTTCAGGCCAGACCAGGTGGCTCTGAACGTAAGGTCTGTGGGGTTCTAGAAGAGCCAGGAGGGCTGCATGGGAGAGGTCAGACTGCAGGAAGCCAGAGTAGAGGTGAGGAATACAAGCTGTGGAAAGGACAAAGGGCAGGCGCTCAGGGGACAGCATGTGTAGAGGCATATGTTCAGTGGAAGGCTGCCCTGGAGAGTCATGAAAAATGGAGCCGAGAGCTGCAGCTCACCTGATACCAGGATGCCAGGCTGGCTGTAGTGCCAGGAGGTCTGCTGCCTGGGACCGAGAAGGGGCGATGCAGAGCCCAGACACGGCCCAGCAAATGGAACCTGCTCCTGTTCTTACTTCTTCATCCCATACCCAGGGCAAAACAGAAAGTTGGAAACAAGTGCCTCCAGGGCACACAGACACCAGAGAGAGCCCAGGAGCGGGACTCATTTCAGGACAGTGACACCAGGGACAGGAGTTGAGCTAGGGGGACACTCTGAGCCAGGCACAGCCCACCACTCCCAGGTCAGGTCAGCTCTGGTTAGGTGGTGGTGTGCCTGTATCTGCCCAGCATCCCCTCTTCCTTGACCGTTGGCACTGACACACTTTTCTCCCTTCCTTTTAAGACACTAACGCTTCTCCCACTCCCTTGTGGTCCTGATGGGGTGGGTCTCAACTCCCCAGATTACAGGGGAGGGCCTGTGGCCCAGTGCTGGTCCAGCACTGCCCCCATCACCATGGCCTGAAGGGGTCATGGCATTTGGAGGTCTTCAGTCTTCTACATTGGAGTCAGGACAGAGAAAGTTCTCTTCTCCACAAGGTAGGTGGCTGTAAGCCAAGAACACCTACAGCTGTGCCAGCAGCAGCCAGGCCCACCCCAACCCAATGGGGAAAGCCCCTTTAGAATATGAGAGAATAGAGCTTAATGCACAGGAGAGGGAAACCAGAGAGAAAAAGAGAAAGCCCGATGCCTTTTGTCACTTACTGCAATCACTTTCATGAGGCAATAATTCTACTTGTTCACCTGCAGCAGTTCTGAACGACCTGGGCAACTAAAGCAGGACCATGGGCCAAATGTGCACCTGTGGCCAAATGGGCTCAGCAGCACTGGGCCCATGTCCTGCCTGCCTTTTCTTACCAACTTAAATAAAGGCCCCCACATAAATCTGGGCCCTATCCCAGGCTTCAGGGTTTGAGTGGCTCAGTGAACACTTCAGGGGTTCCACATAATACCCTCTGAAAACCACCTTTTAGTCCTTCCCAGGAGCTGAGGAAACACAGCAGAGGGAGGCTGGGAAAGACAAGCCTTGCACTTACGATGATGGCGCTCAGTCCATCTAGGCAGGGACAGCAGAGTCAGTTGTTTCTTGAGCAATGCGGCCCAGAGAGTTGGACACCAACATACTCTCAGAGCCTCTCTCTCCCCAGGCAGCTCTGCCTTGGGCTCTGAATGCTCACTGCTGTGTACTTTTGGGGAGGAAATGCCCCAAATAGCTCAGAGTAAGGGGCAAGGGCCTGGAGAATCCTGTTAGAATCCTGTGAACAATGGCTGATGACCTCGGGTAAGTCCTTTCACTTCAGTGTCACCTGTGAGGCAGAACTAAAACTACCCTGTGCTAAAGAAAGAATAACTAATAATGCCAAATGCCAGCCAATGCTTTGTGACTGAATGATTATGATTATAGTGGGTTTGCTAACCAAAGAGACCAGACCATTACCTTGAGAATGCAGCTTTATTCAGCCCAGATGCCTCAGGCACATATAGCTGGCCTCAAACCCCTCCTAGCCTACAGAATCCGGACCAGAGCTACACCCCTTGCCTGGGATGAGGGTTGGTGGGTCTTGCCAGCTGGAAGATGGGTGTCCTGACAGTTGGGGATTTGAGAGAGTTAAAAGGGCAGGGGCCTGGCAAGCCTCTTAGTGACATCAGTGGAGCCAGCGTGCTCAAAGTCAACAGAAGGATATTAAGGACGTAGCTTGTCTCCAACGAGATAAATGAGAATAAACCTTGTTCAGGGCTAAGCAGGCTCTACTGAATAAATACCATTAGCACTTGGATTACT